CATTCTTATTCAAACCATCACAAGTTGGAAGTTGGAACTGACCTGAAAGCCACCTCCCCTAAAGGCTAGCTCTCATAGCTGTGGAAAGCACTATGCAAAGCTGGTAAGGGAGAACATCAATCAATGATGCAACTCCAGCTTCAAAACCTAATAACCACATCAATGACTGGCACAGCAAACATTGGTACAGTAGTAGTACTTTTATCTTGAGGGTAATCAACAGTTACCTAATTGGACTTAAAGCCCATTCAATGGGAAGAAACTCCTGTTGTACTATAAACCTAGCCAAATACACATTGCTGGAGAGGTCATACATCTTAAGAGAAAATCCCAATGCTATCACATCCCTAGACAAAGGTAATTTCTTACTATGTGCTAAATACGGATCCTTAAATTTATAGATAAGTATCCCAGTCACAATCTGTGGTGGTTTGCATGAAAATGTCCCCCATAGGCTCCAAGTATTTGGACATTTTTGTCCCCAGTTGGTGTCACTGTTTTGGGAGGTCTCAGAAGGTGTGGCTATGCTGGAGGAAGCACGTCACTCGGGGTGGGCTTAGAGAGTTCTTAAGCCTTGCCCGATCTCAAGGAGCTCTCTTGATTCCTGTACCTGCTTGACAATGTACAGCCTAGCTTCCACTCCTCCTCCAGCCACCTCTTTGCCATGCCTCCCCACCATGATGGACTCTTGCCCCTTTGGAACCGTAAGCTAAAATAAACTCTTCTTTCTATAAGTTGCTTTGATTAGTGTTTCTATCACAGCAACAGAAAAGTAACTAATACAGTAATTGTTACCAGAGAGTGGGATGTTGGCTGTGAAGAACTTGTCCATGGTGGGGTTTAGGAAGAACATGGAAGACTTTGGAAGCTTGGCCTAGAAAAGCAGTTGATTCCTGTAAGCAGAGCTTAAAAGGCCATTCTACTAGGGGCCTGGAAGAAAGTAGTGCTGAGAACAATGTAGTTCCAGAGGGAAATAAGGACTTAAGCTACAATTGGGATACTTTGGCAAAGATTCTAGCTAGAGTCTACCCCACAGCCAAAAAACTTGCCTGAGGCTAAGTTGAAAAGTAATGGACTGATTTCTCTGACAGAAGAAATTTCAAGACAGCCTAATGTAGAAATGATGGCATGGTTATTAATGGTGAATATTAGGCAGATCTACAGTGAAAGAGAGCAAATGGGGCAGAAAGAAATAGTTTGGCTTGAAAAAGAGCACTATGAAGATAAATGTTGGAGTCCTGGCATGTGCTAGAGAGGCTCCCTTTGATAAGGAGATTAAAGTGATTAAGGAGAGGCCTAGAGATTTGCACTTAAACAATGGAAAGAGCGCCTTCAGGACAAGACCACACCCAGCTAAGCCTCCAACTTGTGAAAGAAAATGCTGCAGGGGCCAAACTTGCAGGGCATTCCAAACTTGCAGACAAATTTGGTAGCATCCTTCCCAGGGTGCTGGCTTTAGAGGCATGGAAAATGCACGAGTGAAGGGGCCATCTTTCTTTCTCTGCCAATGCCACGCAGTGTGTAGCATAGATGCCTCTGCATAGAGAAGGATATTGGGTGAAGCTGTGAAAGTGAAGCCTGGTTGGCAATGGAGACCCCAAGAAGATATTCATGATGCAAAGCTGTGAGGCATCTGCCAAAAAGACCTGCATACAGGGAGTGGTACCAACCCAAAAGAGAGATGTATGTTGCACACAGCAAAGCTGGAGAGGCTGAGCCATCTAAGCCCTTTGGAAGTAAAGTCCCAGCAGTTGGGCTTGGAGCTACTGGATTTGGTGTTTGTCCTGCTGGTTTTCAGTCTTGTTTCACTCTGGTATTTCCTCACTATGCCTTTATTCCTCCCTTTTGGAATGGTAATGTGTATTCGGTTCCACTGTATGTTGGGAGCATACAATTTTTCTTTTGATCTTACAATTAAGCAGTTTCCCTGATTGTGGACTTTTGAATAATATTGAGACTGGTAATGACTATGAGGATTTTTAAAAGTTGGACTAAATGCATTTTGCATTTTATATGGTCATGAGCCAATGGAGGCCAGGGGGTGGAATGTGGTGGTTTGAATGAAAATGTATCCCATGGGCTCCAAATATTTGGACATTTTGTCTCCAGTCTCTCTCCAGCTTCCTGTGCCTGCTTGAAGATGTGAGAGCTTAGCTTCTGCTGCTCCTCCCTACCAAACAGATGGCTCACTACAACAACAAGATGTGCCTTAATTGCTTTGCTTAATAATTGCCCACAGAGCTAAGAATGAAACCACAAAATATCTTCCTTGTTCAATAGTACCTTGGAGCCACAACACCCTGTATAAGTTGTACTTCTTAGAATATCTGCTGTTTCCCTTTCTCAGTAAGCGTTTCAAAGTCTTTTATGCCTCTTCTCAGGCCTTGTCCCCTGGGACACACAGGGTTTCAGTGGGCCCTCAGTGCAGGGAATCACAACACTTGTATTATTATTGAATTCATCTTCTGCCCTTTCCTACTTCCTATAGTGCAGATAGCTGTGACTGAATTTCCTATCCATTGCACATTTACAATGTGTATTTTCATACGTGTGAGATCCAGTTGATCCGGAAATGGAGTCTGCACTCTGGGACTCCCCCTTCACACACATCAAACATGCAGGACACTGTGGGTGGCGTAAGCCCTATTAACACACTGCTTCCTTCCCTCTGTGGATTGGCCAAAATGTACACAGAGTAAGAGTATGCAAAGTGTGGGTTCTTGGACAGGTCGCCTATATTAAAATCCACCTGTGCAAGGCATAGGGACCATTGCAGAAGAGGGAGCGGGAAGACTGTAAGAGCGAGGGAGAAGATGCATGGCCATATGGAAATAGTCTACGGGTGCCTGGGACCCTTCTCATAGAAACCTACAGCAATGGTGTCAGCATGCACAAGACCCATGCAAACTCAAGCAGACAAAAACAATGTACACAGAGTAAGAGTCTGCAAAGTGTGGGTTCTTGGACAGGTCGCCTATATTAAAATCCACCTGCGCAAGGCTTAGGGACCATTGCAGAAGAGGGAGCGGGAAGACTGTAAGAGCGAGGGAGAAGATGCATGGCCATATGGAAATAGTCTACGGGTGCCTGGGACCCTTCTCATAGAAACCTACAGCAATGGTGTCAGCATGCACAAGACCCATGCAAACTCAAGCAGACAAAAACACAACATAGAACTGGGGAAATGGGCAGCAGGCCCCAATCTTAGTCAAAGAATTACTGGCAGCTGATTGCTGCTGGGTGAGAAAGAGCTGATCTTCTTAAAGGGAGGGAGTCTAGATAGGCTGACTAGACATTAGAGGAGGAACTTGTGCTGAGGATCATCTGAGGACACTAACTTGACTTGATAGGCCTTAAGATAAATGACAGATTGCATCAAATTCAGTGTGGGGGGGGCTATGGGAGGGTGCCAAAGGGAAAGGGGGTATAAAGATGATCAAGATGTTCTATACAAAATACACAAAAACTCAGTCAAAAATTTACAAAAATATGCTCAGTCTCATAAGCCACAGGGGAAATGCACATTAAAACTACTTTGATATTCCATCTCATCCCAGTTAGCATGACTATCATCAAGTAACAAATGACAAGTGTTGGCAAAGATGTGGAGAATGGGGAACCTTTTTCCATCCATGAGTGGAAATGTAAATTGGTGCAGCCACTGTGGAAATCAGAGTGAATGTTTCTTAAATAGCTAAAAATAGAACTATCTTGGGGCTAGAGAGATGGTTAAGCAGTTTAGAGTATTTATTGCTCTATCAGAGGATGGGAGTTTGGATCTTAGCATCCACACTGGGCACCTCATAAATGCCTATAACTCCAGCTCCAAGAGATCAGACTCCCCATTATGGCCTCTGTGGGCACATGCACACACAGACACATGCACATACATGCTAATTTTTAAAATTCTTTTAAATTATAAAATTACGAGCTACACAGATGGCTGACTCAGAGGATAAGAGCACTGCTGCTCTTGGAGAGGACCCAGGTTCAGTTCCCAGCACCCACGTGGTAGCTATCAACCATGAGCAACTCCAGTTCCAGGAGATCTGACCCCCTCTTCTGGCCTCCACGGGTATTGCATGACACAGGTACACTTACTCATACACATTTTTTAAAATAAAAAAATTATAAGATTACAAAATTATTCATATGAAATAAAATGCACAATATGTAGCATCCAATGAAAAGATTACCAGGCAGGAAAACACTCCTCAGTCCAGTATAATAGAACACTCAACCAAGCATAACTGATATGGATATAAGAATTAGTATAAAAAGACATTATAAATGGTTTTTCTTTTTTTTAAACTATTTTATTTATTTTTATTTTATGTGTATGAGCATATTGCCTGCATGTATGTGAGTGCACCTGTGTCATGCAATGCCATGGAGGTCAGAAGAGGGCTTCGGATTCACCTGGAACTGGAGTTAAGGACAGTTCATAGTTGCCATGCAGGTGCTGGGAATCGAACCCAGGTCCTCTGCAAGAGCAGTCAGTGCTCTTAACCACTGAGCCATCTCTCCAGCTCCTATAAATGGTTTCTTATAACTGCATTATTTGTCTTGAAAAGATTATATAGACAGGAGAAACATTGTTTTAAAATAGAAATCAAGCTTCTCTATACTATTACAGTGCTTCACGTTAAACATAAATATCTGTTAAGTGGAGAGATGAAAAAAATAATAAATTTCTATACTGTTATAATGCCTAATATGAAACACAGGCTGAACAAGATATGCAGCAGACCAGATATGACAAAAGAAATGTTCAGGGGCTGGAGTGATGACACAGTGGGTTAAGAGCACTGGCCGCTCTTGTAGGGAACCCAGATCCAGTTCCAAGTACCCACACGGCAGCCATCAATCATCTTTAATTCCAGGTCCAGGGGAATCTGATGCCTTCTTCTGATCTCTACAGGCATTGCACACATGTAGTGCACTTACATACATGTAGGCAAAACACCCATACACATTAAAGATTAAAAAAACATGCATGTGGTGCAATTACATGGAGGCATAACACTTAAACATAAATTTAAATAAAATGCTTTTTTAAAATACTGTTTCCTTAAAATTTAATAATTCCAAAAACATCTACACAGATAATGTAAGAAATACTCAACAAATAGGTACTTATTTTGTGACAACGTATGTAATTTCCTATGATGTTTTGACAACTAGTGAATTAGGTTATTAAAAAAAAGTGTACAAGCTCCCAAATACTTTTGACATTTTTGACCTTTGGAACAGAGTATGTTGCTAACAGGCCCAAGGACATTTTGACTTTTAGCCAAGAACCTGGCTACATTTCTTTGGGGTCTTTTTACCCTAATTGCCTAGCCAATTCCTACCTCCTGTTCTTATCACACCACCCTCTGAAGAGGTTACCCAAATTGCCAATAGGGAATCTGGG